AATTGTCGTAAACAATAGTCTGCATTATTTAAACAAATTAGCCGTAAATAATCAACAGTGCCTTTTCGCAACCATCTGTTACTTATATTATTATCAACTAAGACTGTTTTTACATAAGTAGCGAAATCGTTCTAAGCAACGTGGTTAATCGAAATAAGTGCTCCATAATTTGTTGCGTATCAAAAATAGAGTAACAAGAGTCAAGTTTCGCGGGCACGTTGCTTATATATATATATATATAGAGAGAGAGAGAGAGAGAGAGAGAGAGAGAGAAAGAGAGAGAAAGAGAGAGAGAGAGAAAGAGAGAGAGAGAGAAAAATAAATAAATAGTAGGACAGACTAGGTTCTATAGTCTTGGATGGGAACTGGTCTAGGAGAAGGACAACTCTGAATTCAAAGCTTGCGAGGGCTGTTTAGGGGACCTTGTGGCAAGTAGTGCACCAGGTCTCTGTATTCCGCCCTTCAAAAAGTGTGGTTGGTTCTACACAAAACCTTCACAACTATAATCAAATCATATGTGCTGGTGTCTGGGCTGTCCATTCCTAGGAGCTGGGCTGCTTGACCCTCATACGTCGAATACGATGGGAGAGTCCACCATATATATATATATATATATATATATATATGTGTGTGTGTGTGTGTGTGTGTGTGTGTGTGTGTGTGTGTGTGTGTGTGTGTGTGTGTGTGTGTGTGTGTGAAAATATATAGAAAATAGGAAAGAACTCATTAGGTAAATAATCCAAAGTTCTTTAGTATTTTTGTTATTATTTTTAAAAAATAGTGCTTGATACAAAAGTAGAGCATAAATATAATTATTTATTTTTAAATAAATAATTATATATATATATATATATATATATATATATATAGTTAAGATAAGGGAAAAGTTCAAAAGACTTAGAACCGATTTCAAGTCTTGCAAACACCACTCGTCAGGGTCAGATTTACTTGACACTAACAAGCGTGTCTGCGAAACTTTTCCCTCCCTATGGTTGCTGGCACCCTGAACTTCGGCGTCCTTATCAGTATAATTTTTTTAAATTTTCACAAGGAGAAAAACTGAAAATGTAATAGAACAGGTTTATTACAATATACAACTTAATACAAGCTAAAGAAAACATTCATTATCCCACCTAAAAGATTTTTTCTATCGTTAGAGCTGCAATTTCTTTTCATGGCACGTTCTATGCCTATCTTCTTTCCAAGATTATTTTCTATTGACAAAATAACCGAAAAATTTAACTTGTCTTGAATCATGGACGACCGCAATTATGTTTTTATAAGCTTTAGTTTTGGAAGATCTCAAACACATGATATAGCGGCATGATGGAGCCCTCGGCCTTGATTGCGCTCCGGCCGACTGCCCGAGTTGCCATTACCTAGAGTCAAACATTATATATACATATATATATATTGTGGAGAAGAAGCTTGTTACTTAACTGAGTGGTGTTGGTTCAGTCATGCCGACTTCGAAGTTTCGTGAGCATACTATAGTATTCTTCGGTGTTTGTTGGCGTTTCGGCTGCTACTTCTCAATTTTGTTTTATTTGTTACGAAACAAGTGATAAGTTTCTCCACATTAATTCTACTAACGCTCTATCCTTTCCTTTCAATATCGAGCACTTTATGACAAAAAAACTGCCTGCCTAAAATGCTTTCTCAACCAATAAACTACGGAACCTCTTACAATTTAATACTATATATATATATATATATATATATATATATATATATATATAAGGATAATCTGAAAAAACGAAGTGGGTTGCGGCGAGAAACTGTTACTGTCCGCTTGTGTTTATACATATCAGTTATTTTGTAAGTACGTCATGGAAAAATAGAAAAAACAGAAATTTATCCCTTTTCCAATATAAAGCGATGACACATATAAACTTGAGTTCTCTTTGGAGAAAAACATATAAAGTCAAAAGCTATACTCTTAATTAAACTGATAGAAATTCTTGGCATTTCTGCTTTGATTTAAGAAAGATGTCTCTACTAATTTATTCTGGCATAAAACGAAACTGACAGAATAAAACGTTCTTTGTGTCGTTGTTTCATGATAAATCTACTTGTTGTGGATATGCAGAAAGTAGATTCAGCGTGCCAGTTTCAAATTCGAACCACGCCTGTTTTGTTCATTTCGCACTTATTCCCTTAGAAAAAGTATGGCCATCTTCTCCTCCAGATATGTGTTAAATAACAAAGCAGGATTTCCTCTCTTGTCTTCGGTTAATCTAGGAGAAAGAAAACCTTGCCCTAGACACACACCTTACTGCAATAGCTGCAGTACACGTGATGCCTCTATGGTCCTATACCGGACTAGTGATTGCGTGAAGCGCGTTTGTCTCGCAAGACATCGAGAGTGAGTTCGATTCTCAACGAATGCTCCAAAAATACGGTTGTGTGACAAAGTGTTATAGTGGAACACACCTATTCTATAGTTAATAGACTCTCCCACCTATAATAAGTAGGAGTAGTAAGAGTAACAAGTCGATCGCTCAGTGAGTCTGTCTGAGTTCAGTCTGACGACCGGCTGACCGGTTGAACTCTCTGTCTTCGGGCGGGGAGGAACCCGAAAGAGGCTACGCCGAAGGGCGGATTCTCTTTCGGGGAGGTAAACCGACCCTGAACCCGTTTATACGGGTTCAAAGGGCATATTTTTGGCCGAGCCCACGGGCTCGGAGATCCCACGTTAAACCGGCCTTGTGCCACATGATGCCCTCGTGGGGTGGGGGGAATGGGTCGGTCAGTCAGTCGATGCCGGACGACCGTTAGTCGGATACTAAAGTATGAGCGACCACAACTAGATTACTCTGCGCCATTACCGATTATATCAAGTTCCTAACGTTTTGTAAGTCGAACCTATTTTAGGACCGACTTAGTACAAATACAAGCCTCCACTGTGAAACCACTCCACAACACAAAGGTTGCGTGGTGCTCCAAATATTTTAAATATTGGGTCCCTACTTCGTGACTGAGGTCGTTAGAAATTAATGAATATGCTCTTTAACCCACTGACGTAAATACAGTACTTTCCCGATTATCCGTATACTTTGGGACAGGAGTTGAAAATTCTGTTCGGATAATTCCGGCTTCCGAATAATTGAATATCTAAATTATATAAGAAGAATGAAAGAAAATTAATTTTCCGAAAGAAATTTAACATTTATATCGTAGCGAGTCAGATAAAAAAAGTATAAAAATAAAATATATAAACAAAAATAAGAAGAATTCAAATTAAAATAAGGCATTTGCGCTTTCCTATAAACACCTCCCGCTCTCTCTCTCTCTCTCTCTCTCTCTCTCACACACACACACACACACACACCACACACACACACACACACACACAATAGCACAAAGAGATTTTGATGTTAGCCGAAACCAAGGTTCATGCCAGAGTCCCGGAGCCTGCTTAAAAGGATATAATCTCACACCTCTGAGCTAGACGGCAGAATGGATGGCGAGAGTGACAACAAAAGCCGCTACAGTCGGAGAAGCCAACCATGCTTGACGCGTGAAGAAGTAGTTAAGTGGTCATCTGCTAATCATACTTCTGCCCTGCTGAGGGCCGATAAAAATAATAGGCTGACACTAATTTATTTCTAATATTTACTACTACTTCTAGCACGATCTAACTTCAAAATTACCACTACCGAACTTTCTCCAAACTACTACCAATATCGCCTTATAAACGAACATTTTGTGACACCAAATATCAAATGACTCACTCTAAAGCAAATAAATAAAAATATATTATTTAATAATACCTTATACACAGTTTCGCTTTATTCCAAAGTTTCCAGTAAAGAAAATCCTACCAACTCCCCACAATATCAAATAACGTTTTCAAACAATTTGTTTAAGATTTTGTCCAAGTTTATATTTTATGAAAAAGGGAGAGCTACGAGGGATAGGGGAAAGTGGAAAGCCATGATTGCCTATGTCCTGAAGAATGTAACCTCAACAAGTCATCGTCGACAAGACCCGATGAGGCAGATATAGACGTTAAGGAAAGAAGAAGAAGAAGAAGAAGAAGAAGAAGAAGAAGAAGAAGAGTGGATTTTTGCCTGTTTCCGACTGACCTTGCGTTTTTGTTTTTTTTTGGGGTTTTTTTTCCACTAACTCCCGAAGCTGGATTAAAGTAGATGTATTTGTAAGGCTAGCTTCTGGTTTAAAACGCACCCAACTTAAACATGTGTCACATAGAATCATCATTTTGCTGTTTGAAATTGAAATTTTGAACATTGAGTATGGTTTACTGGGGTGAAATGTTAGAATGAGTTTTGTTCGGATAACTGAAAAATTTTCGGATGAATTCTTCATTTCACTTTCGGAAAATCGAGGTGCGGATAATCAAGGAAGGGCTGTGTTTCAGATTTTATAATTTATCTATATCTCCTTTATGTGCAGTGGCCGTCCAGGATGTAGGCGATTATGGCTCCCCACAACTTCCAGTCCGTTTTAGCTCTTAACAAATTTTGTCTTTCTGTTATTTCTCCTAAACTCTGTTCCGCCATTCACTTACTCACTATGTAGTTATGCGATGTTTTCCTCTGTCTCTCTTGTCTTCAGTCTGTCGTGTGAGAATCGAGTATCAGATTTTTCAAGCCCTCCCTCCTCATTAAGTGCCTCAGAAACCTCAACTGTCTCTTCCTGATGTTAAGTATTCTTAAGTTTTCTTTTTCTTTCCATTTTCTTTAAAAATTCGTCGTTGCTCACATGTTCGGTCAACACTTCCAAAAGAGGTTGTTGCGGAGCCGATAAGGATGTCGACCCCACAAGCTTATTTGTGTTCAAAGAAATGTGCGAAGAGCCAAGACAATGCGGAGACAAAGGCGAAGATTCATATTTTAACCAAACGTCAGTTTTATTTCGTTAAAACGACATGCGGTTTTTAATATACAACGAAAACAGAAAAAGATTTGCTGGATGAATGTCAGGTTCGGGCAGACTGGACTGGTGATCTTTAGTGAAATCGATGGTAGGCAAGTTGATCATCGGTCAGTTAGGCTTCCAGGCCAGGTAGTAGAATTGTGGTTGGACGTGTCGGCGACGGGAGGCTGAGGTGTGGTTGATCTGGTCGTGTCGACGACGGGAATCTGTGGTGTGGTCGAACTGGTCGTGTCGACAGTCGGAGTGGACGTGTCGACGACGGGAAGCTGGTCAAATGCCGGGCAGGAATCTAACGGTGATGAGAAGCGGGTTAGTGGCTGAACAGGAATGTAATAACAAAACGGCAGCTGAAATGGTTGACTCCTGGACGTCTCCAGCACAAAGGTTGGAAACTTCCTGGCCGTCTGCTTCAACGATTCGGAGGAATCATCAAAGATATTCCAACACAAAGGTTGGAAACCTCCTACATCCTGCTTCAACGATTCGGAGGAGATGATCCGATCTGCAGATAAAAAATCTCCTCCCTAAACAGGGCCGAGAATGTTGAGTTGATACAACTTCCAAGGAGGATCAACAGTGGAATACGGGACCACGCTGAAGAGTACCCCTCAGCGGTACACCGGGGAGATCAAAAAGCAGCGCACAGATACTACACCGCAGATTTGACACCGGGCCGAGAAACGGTATTTAGTCTGTCCCCCCACTTGGACGAGATGTGACACAAGGTCTATTATTAGGCGGGGACCCGAGTGTGTACGCCCGGGACAGGAACAAAAATTCCCCTCAGCCCCCGCAACCGTCGGTTGCGCTGGCCTCGGTGCGAGCACCGATCCCTCCCTCTGGTGCAATGGGAGGACGCGGCTCTGGGCAATTGTTCCCCAGGGCTGGGCACTTCTTCAATATTATTTTCCTCAGTTACCCCTCTGTCCTTTGACAGAGAAGCCCCTGAGCGCACACTGTCCAAGGACAGAGACGCAACTGAGAGATGATAAGTAAACGTCAAATTACTCCAAAAGAGTAAGGTAGGCTTGTTTTCGTCGAAATAGAGTCCAGATTTATGTCATAACGTTTGTTTATCTACTCCCTGCTACTGGGAGTAGAAAACGCTAAATAAAATTTTTAAAAACCTCAAATCCTGTCGAATGCTGATTAACACTCCCTTATTATATATACTTAATGGTATGTTTCTCATTAAAATATATCAGGATAGTTGTTTAATTGCTAATTAACTGCTGATTCAATTCCGAGAGTAAAAGGGTTGCGAAGGTCAAGGTCGTCCTATTTGTTTAGGAGCGGCCAGCGGCGGCTACGACAAGGTTTTTTTTTCTCTCTTTTTTTTATTCCACACCATCTCTACCCTCTCTATCTTTATATATATATATATATATATATATATATATATATACCGAAACCACGAAAAACTTACACAGACAAACATATATACATGTGTGTGTGTGTGTGTGTGTGTGTGTGTGTACGTTTCTTGGTTTGCAGCGAAAAATTTAATAAATTTGAATACTTACGGTTTTTCATAAGGCATTATCAAAGGGTTTTTGCTGATAATGCTGTGAGCATACGAGGTGAGGTCAAAAAGTTTCTGACTTTAGTTTTCGCAGCAAAACCAATACCGATTAGTTAGGTAATTTTTCTCATATAATGTTTTAGAAAAATATATTTTATTTTCGAAAGACTTTTTTTAAAAAAAAAAGAATTGTATGGTGTTAACAGAACTCTCGATATGGATAAATTTATAGATTTTACTGATAAATAAAAAAAATATTCTATTTCGTTCTGCAAGCACGTGTTGAATTCTCTGATTGACTGACTCTTTGTTTCACCATCATCAGCATTTTCAAAATTTTTATTTTCTTTTTTACATTCTATTTCAATTTAATTTTTTTTAAATATAATTAATTTCTTGTTTTTCATTGAGTGACATACTTCATTTATTAATTATTTTCTTTTTTAGATTCAATTTTAAGGACGGAAACAGTGCAGGCTTTGGACATATCTTCGTTAAAAAAAAGTACCTAAAAATCAATAAAATATTAGACTTTTGAAAGTATTAATTTTATTTTTTTACAGAAATCCTCTTCAAGTGCAAGCATCTAAAAAAGTCAATAAAATATTAGACTTTTGAAGGTATTTTATTTTTAAAATTAATGTGTAGTTAAATAAGCTGGTTCACTTCGGAAACAGTCACTTCTGTCCTTCCGTCCGATAACTTCCCCTGGCGTAAGCTGTCGATACATCAACGTAAACGTCAATTAACAAAATAATCTCTAAAATAAATCATAACGGTTAGACATGCTTGTCTTATTTTCAACTATTTTTTCTGCTAAAAAATTAAGTAATGTTTGTTTCCAATTACATTAAGTAAACTTTAAATTTTCTTCAAATAACTTTTGAAAAAAGTATAATTGATTTTTACAAAATTTTTAAATGGGGAATTTAACTTTTGTTTACAAATTTCTCAAAAATGTTGGATATCATCGATTTCTGGCAATTTTGCTGATTAAAAAACACAAGATTTTTAACTAAAATTTCAGAGATTCCAGGAAAGAATCAAAGATAAGGAAAAATAATAAAAAATATACTTTGGTCTTTTCTCTTAATAATAACATAAATATTTTGACGATAAAAAATTATTTTCATCAAGTTTGGAGGTTTTTCCATCAGGCTATGCTCTTTTTTAGTGAATTAGTGGAGAAACCTAGTGTTAAGTATTTTTTTTTTTTTTGGCTTTCTTTTTCCTAAGTCTGTGACGATATCTACAAGTAATTTGCATTGATTTCTGAAAAGGAAATCGATTTTCGCTATCCACATATGTTTATTGTTTTTTTTCACTTATTTGGTTTTTATGGAGATAAATAATATCATATTACCCCGAGAACATCAGATAATGGTTGTTAGATAATAAAATATCATGTGTCGGGCAAGTCACCAGATAATGAATTCAGTATGGAAGAAAGGTTTATTCTCCTGTTTGCATTTCGCCCATTATCAGCATTATTATACCTATAATAAAATAACATCTTATTTCACTGACAGAATGAAATAGCTGAAAGAAAAGAAATGACAAACACGCTTTGTTCTCAGAGAAAGTTTTATACCGTTAAGTCGTACTCAAAATTATATATACTCATTTACATGTGTTCCACGCAGAGAATCTATAACATGTACGCAACAACAAGCAGAGTGAAAAGAGGGCGAAAAAAGAGATTTTTACGTATAATAATTCTTATCGGGAACTGGAGCCGTCGCAGATGCTTCAGTGTTTCTGGAGGAGTCATATTTAGGATTTCAGATTCAAACAGGCCGGATTCACCTGCTATGTTGATAGTGAGGACATGTTCCACAAACGGCGAGTCCTGGGTTTTTCCCAACATGAGGACTGCGAGCTGGAGATATTTTTTATATCTCTTGAAGATATATTTCCTTAAGAAAACAGCGCCATAGGCTTGTCAGCTGCAACATTTAGCCTCAGAACTGCTCAGTTTGACTCCTGCAAGCTGACCGACGAACCACTTGGAAATGTTACATTGAATCTATTGCTAGGTCTGCTGTTGAGAAAGTTGGTTCACTGTGTCATTCTAGCCAATTTTTCTCGCCAGAATCTATCAGATTATAAAATTATGGAACCTCTCTCAACCAGGGTAACCCTATAACTCACCGATACTCGTCATGAACATTTTTTTTACTCTTGATATATTTTAACGACATTTGCATAGCTTCAAGTAAACTTATTGCAAATAAGTAGTTATTTTAATTTTCTAGATGCAGTGTAACCCGGATATAAGAGACCCGGATATAAGAGAAACCCGGATATAAGAGAGATTTTCTCTGGTCCCAAATTAGAGCCTGTGTTAATGTATATAAAATAGACCAAACCCAGATATAAGAGAAACCCGGATATAAGAGACTTCTTCTCCGGTCCCGACAACTCTCTTATATCTGGGTTACACTGTAATAATTTTACTTTTCTGTTAAATAGTTTCATAAACTGAAATGATATCAATATGACAAACACAAATTTATTTTGATTGTTTTATTGTTATAATACTGGTAATAAAACTATTTTTTTTCACTTCAGTTGTGTTGAAATATGTGCTAATTTGTCTTGTACAGTGTAACCCGGATATAAGAGAGATTTTCTCTGGTCCCAAATTAGAGCCTGTGTTAATGTATATAAAATAGACCAAACCCGGATATAAGAGAAACCCGGATATAAGAGAGATTTTCTCTGGTCCCAAATTAGAGCCTGTGTTAATGTATATAAATTAGACTATATATAAGAGACTTCTCGGGACAACTTTATATCCGTTAATAAAATAGTAAAATAGTGGTACTTCTTAAATAATATTTTTATTGACAAAAGAAAAGATACTTATTCTAGTTTATTTAAAGAATTTGTAATCAGTTTACTTCAAGCTATGTAAATGTCGCAAAAATATATCACAAGCAAAATTTTTCAAGACAGGTTTTAGGCCAGTTAGAGAGTGCCTTCATCTGAGTGGGGGTGGGGCGGGGAATAATTTAATTAGTCTAGGGGCCTCTAAAGGTCCTAATCCGGCCCTGCTAGTTTCTTACTTCAACAAATTGTTCGGATTATTATCCTCATCTCTCTTGTTTTGGTTTATTGATTTGTTTATAACAATTTATCAACTTGTGGGTTATTATTTAATGCCAAAACCTATTTTGGATTTTAAGAATAATTCATTTTTTACAAATGAATATTGCATTAATAATTTCTAACAATTTTTTTTTAGGAATAACAATGGCTTTTCCAGATACAGCTCTCACTATTTAACCTATAGCTGGGGCTGTTGCTTTGGTTATAACATTTAAGCTTGTATATAATTTTTATATACCTTCTATTTTATATTTCTTTTGCTCTATAAAGAATTTAATTTTAAGTTTATATTCAGTCAGTATAAAGCCATAATATGTGATTTGTACTAGCTGATGACTTGATGAAATGAGCGTGAGAAAAGAGTAACATTCAAGTATTACTGGATGTAACATATCTTTGGGGTAAGCCAGAGAACACATTGGTAAAATAAGAAAACTGACGATAACAATCCAAATATTATATGCAATAATGGCAATTTTTCATCTCAATATTTGCCGCAATTTAACAAGATGGATAAAAAAAAACAGATAATATAAAATAGGAAGATGTTTTTTTCTATACCCTTGCTGTAAAAAAAAAGACAGCAGTTGTTAGAAGGGTTGTTGGGATGTGGCAAAAATGGACCTTCATGCTTGCAAAACAAAAAAAAAATCGGAGTGTCAAAAGGACAGTTTTTCCATTGACACCGCTATTATTTTAACTACCTTAACTCCTTGACAATTTTTATTCTTTTAAAAAGTGATTAGAATTGTAATAAAGCCTAAACATATGGAAGTGAATATACACATTTTCTTTGTTCTTGAATTTACAACAAAAATAATAAACTTTGTTTATTTATTATATTGTTTATTTGAATTATTAGCAATCCATCGGCTAATTGTCAATAGATTCGAAATTTATAAAATGGTAAATAATAAGGATAGTTGGTTCACATATTTCAATAAAAAATAGCTTTCATATTTATTTTCTTACAAATTGTTAAATGATAATTATTGCATTGCATTTATGTTAATTGTATTAGTTTTTAGAATGTTGTAAATATAAAATTATTGTAAATAAACAATCTAATGAATAAACATTGGTTAATATTTTTTATGTAAATTCACAAGAACCAAAAAATATATAACTTCACTTTCATCATATGTTTAAGTTTTATTCCAATTCTAATCATTGCTTTTGATTTGTTGTTTTAACAAACATTGTCAAGGAGTGAAGGTAGTTAAAATAATATGGGTGTCAATAGAAAAAAAAACAAAAGGTCCAAATTTGCCTGAGATGCAATAAAACAAGGTTTTGGAAATCATGTATTGAATTTTAATAAAACAGAGATCCAGAATTCACATCTGAAATAGAGAAATGGCTAAGGGAAGTAACTACGCATGAATCTAAGTTGATTTACCTCCCTGTCTATTATAGCGCATGACATGAAAGATACAAATATACACTGATAATTATGTTGCTTATTCAGATACTGTTTCCATATTTATTTCAAGTGGCTCATATTCAAGCCATTAACATCAAGTTTTAACAAATTCAGAAATGTAGTATTTTTTCATTTATTTCGCAATTTTTATTTGATTTTTTTCAGTTTTTACTAACATCACGAATACATATGAACATAACAGTTTAAATCAATTCAAACTGTTTCTCGTTTCACAGACTCGAATTGTAAAAATATAATTTTAAGCTTGGGGATGGCTGTTTCGAAAAGAAATGAAAAAACAGTTTCTGCTCAATAAAAATATTAAAACTTTGAAGTATAACTGTATAAAAATCTAACAGTGAAACCGTTCAACACACACACTCACACACGCACGCACACAGACGTATATATATATATATGAACTGACAAAGTCTGTCTATTTATTGAATGTTTACAATTTCCGAAGATGTTTATCAGGATCAAAATTGTCTGAAGTTCATGTACTTTCAATCATCTCGGTCTTTATCAAGAACTGGGTGACGTCAGTGTGGTAGACAAGATTTTGTTAAGTATATCCTGATTTTTTTTTTTTTTTTTTTGAAACGTGGGATTTATATTAGTCGAAATTTATGTGTAAAACGGTTACACGGAGATATGCCACAGGAAAAAATAATGTACTACAAAAATTATATCATTATTATTATTTTTTATGCACCCTTAAAGATCTCGTCTCTTCTTGTGAAAAATATTTTATTTAATACGAGTTAGGGTGCACAGTAAAAAAAAGCGGTAAATTCACAATCAAATGTTCACAAACTGAACAATCATCGTATATATTCGAAATGTTTGTAAGCGTAATAACCAGGAGGCAGTAGCTTTGCGGATAGTGCCAAGAGGAATTTCATTACAAGCTTTGGTTAAGTTAAACGACGGTTTTGTAAGTAGTTTACGAGTATACTTCAGATGTAGTAATCCATAGCATTCAGAACTGGGCTTTCAGAGGGCCACTGAGATGGACCATTTAGATCTGGTATATTTCTCGAAGAATAAATTTGCCACTTTTTTACTGGGCACCCTGTATATATACAGATGCGATTAGATACTCGGTCCAAGAAATTGTCAATAATCTTGTGTGTATGTGTGTGTGTGTGAGAGAAAGAGAGTGGGGGCGAGAGAGTGCATAGATGTGTATATTCGATTGCTCCAATATCATCTTGCTTATCAGAACTCCCGATTAAACGGACAACAAAAAACAGTTGTTTTTGTGTCTATCTAATTGGGAATTTTCAAAGTCTTACCTTCTATTGACATATTAAGAAGACAATTTTCCCATGTATGTATAAAAAAAATAAACTGCATTAATTACGTCACCAGACGTTTTATATATTCGATTCCTCATTTTCATCTCTCTCCACTGGTTCGAGCTTAATTCCCATTGGTGAAGGCCGTCTTTCCAATTCTTCACGAAGTCGTTTAATCTCTTGTTTTTGTATCTCAAGCATTCGTTCTTTTTCCTGCAATTCGTTTTTCAACAAGACACTCGGCGATTTATTTGCAATAGCAGTTATTAATGTGGCAGTGTCTTCTCTTTTCAGACCGCCTTCTTTTCCTGACTTGTTTGGTTTACCATGCAATCCGAGTGCAGCTTCCAAATCATGAATATTGTTCTGACAAGTTTTAAGTTCTTTTCGGAGTTCATTAATTTCTTTTATTAGGGAAACGTTATCCTGCATGATTCTGACATTGTCTGCTTTGTGAATCTTTGAATCTTTAACCAGTTTCTTTTTTAGCGAAAACACAGTGTGTTCAAGATGCTCTCGTTGTCTATGATACTCTTTTTGGATATCAGCGTCGACACTGGCCGATTCCGTAATGTCATCTTCCACGCACTTCCGGTACATGGCAATGACGCTTTCCTTTAAAAGGCGAGGTTCCTGAATAAAACTGACACTATTATGGAGCCTCGTTTTGAATTGCTTCACTTTTGCTTCTTTCTCACGCACCAAGTTTCCCTTTTCTTTTAGTGTTTTTGACGTAGCTTCGTATTTCTGCTTCATATCCGTTATATTCAATTCTAGCTGTGTATTTGATTTGCGCGATTGTTCTAGCTCGTTTTCCATTTCCTGTATTTGTCCGCGCATGCGTTTGATTTCGTCCTCACGGGGCTCGATCTGTTTCTTCAGTTCTCTAATTTTATAATCCAGCACAAACTTAAACTTCTCCAGTTCCTGATTCTTTTTCTTGAGATCGTAGATTCGTTTTTCTTTGTCTTGAATAGTTTCGTCTCTCTCCTGAATCTCTTTTTTCAGTCCCAGAATATCTTTCTCCAGATTCCGTATGATTGTATTCAACTTGCTGATCTCGGCTTGGAATTTCCGACTCTCCTCTTTGTGTTCGTCAATCTCTTTTTGCAGCGTTGTGAACTTTTGCTTAAAGATCCCGTTTTCTCCTTTCAGCTTTGCATTCAAATCCTTTTCACGTCTCAGCTCTCTCTGCAGATTGGTCTTAATGTCTAATATCTCCATATCAGCATCTTCTTCCATCATTCTCTTAGTCAGTTCGTCCTGCTTCTGCTGTCGTCGGCTTTCTTCTTGCGCCATCTGCAACTTTGATATCATCTCTTGCCGCTTGATCTCGTAGCGTTCTTCAATTTGAGTCAAGGCAGTGGCTTTAGATTCCTCCATTTCATGCAATTTGTGATCGTTCTCCTCCTGCATTTTCATCATCTTAGTCTGCAACTCTTGGTATTTTTCATATTCTAGCATCAACTTTTGGTTGTTAGCAGATTCCAGATCTTGCAATTCTTTGGCATGCTTTTGCATCATTTCCGACAGTTGTTCCTCATGTTTAGCTTCTTGCTTATCCCGTTCCGCTTTTAAGATTTGGTTCTTTGTTTTCAAAGATTCCATTTCTTGGATGAACTTTTCTGTCAGTTCTTTAATCTTTTCATTATAGTTCATGTCTTTGAGTCTTAGCTGATACTCATTTTCCATTCCCAGTTCATTGACCCGGGTTCTTAGCTCTGCCATTACAGCATTTTTCTCTTCCAGGTCGCTTTTCGTTATCAGAATCTCGTCGGCATACATGCTACTCATTGCGTCTTTTTCTCGTTTCATTCCGCGACCTTCTTTGTCTTGAATTTTCCAAATCATAACACTAGCGTCCTCAGACACGGTGATCAAATATTGGTCATCAAAGGTCATTTTCATTCGAGTAACTCTGCTACTGTGACCCTGATATTCTTGCCTTTCTCCGGCGTCGCTCAATGGAAACTTAAAACTCCACAGGCTCCCGAGTGTTGTCGCGGCAAACAGCATTCTCCCTGAATGTGACAGCGTCAGGCATAGAAGAGTTACTTCCCCTGCGTCGATATTGCGAAGTACTGAAGAATCTCCGATTTCTTTTAATATGTTATCGTTGCCAACTGCGTAAGTTGTCTTTCCGTCTGGAGAGATTGATACGTCAGTGTAGACACAAGACTTGATAACGGTCTCTCCAGTTCGGCGCCCAAGAAGAGGATCCCATTCGTACACTGCACCGTCTCCTCCACATGATACCAGCTTACTGTCATCGGGACTCCATAAAACTGACGTGACAGCCTTGTTATGCCCTTTCAGATTGTTTATCAGCTCGAACGTCACCGTCGAATAAACCTGGATTACGTTTCCGTTGACAGCAGCAAAAAGATGGCCGCCATTACTGAAACAACATTCACGACAACACTTGCAAGAAAATTCCTGAAACGGTTTAATATCATCTATAAGAATATTGAGTAATTTGAGTTTGTCAGTGAAACCGGCCAATAGGTATAAACCAGACGGGTGAAGGGCAATGCTATACACCTCTTCGGCGAATTCTTTAAATAATTCCTGCGAGCAAGTCTCAAAATTCCAGATTCTGATACTGCAATCCAGTGACGAAGTAGCAACAAGAGGTTTTCGCGCGCACACATCTAATCCTGTGATAGTATTTGAATGAAAATTCTGTGCCAGAGGATCAAAATTATACAATTGCATTCCATTCTGTCTAAAATCGGCTGCTGACAAAGATGTACTATATATCTGATTAGTGTTGCTACTGGCTACTAAGGTCTCTTCGGACGGGCTAATGGTCATACACGTAATAACTTGCTTGTATGAACGGCTGCTGGGAAGTGTAATGCTGTTGTCTGGCAGTATCAATACTTCACGTGTCTTGCGGTAAAAATCTCTGTCTTCAGAGCGTTCGAATAAATGAACGGTTCCTACTCCGCATGCGCAGGCAAAACCTTTAGAATAAGCAACAATAGCTGTCACTTCCGTGACCTGATCTTTAAATTCTTCACGACTGATATGCCTCACAACGTCTTTTTGTACAGAGTCCTTCATTCTGCTCTCCTGGAAGACTGAAGTCAAAGGGTTAAACTCTGCTTTTGTTTCGCTGCTTTCTATCAACAGTACTTTGCCTTGATCAGTGCCGACAAGCAATCGTTCTTCGGAAATCCAGGTGAAACAGGTAAAATCCTGGGGTTCCACTTTGGGGAAATTGAATGGCTTAAGATTGTTCTCAGAGTAACGGAAACTTTTTAGGGTCCCATTACCAACGACACACATCAGTGAATTATCGTGTGGATTGAAATTTACTTGGTATATAGGTAAATTCGTCTGGGGATTGTTTGTACGGATGAAAGCCATTAACTTGCACTTCTCCCAACCCCAGTATTGCAATATCCAATCCGGTCCCCCCGTATGGGCTGCCAGATATTTAGAATCCGGTGAAAAGGCCAAGCTAACATAGTCTGTAGCTTGAATTCCTTGGTCGTTGTTCAATGTTTTCCGTCTTCTATTCGTATGCAAGTCATATATGGACAGCGAAGGACCCTTATCAACTCCTATTTCAGCAATAGCCACGTATCTCTTGTTGGGACTAACGACTAATGCTGAAATACATTGTCCAGTTTCGGAGGCTACAATACATTTTTGCGATTTCAAATCAATATTATAAACAATACAATAGGCTCCACAAGGATAAACAACTTTCTGTTCATCTTGGTAGCTGATATTCCCTGCTACTCCAGATTTTAATCCAAAGCAGTGTTTTAGAGATGCCACCGCAATTGACATTTTTTAATTTAAACAGTTAATTTTTTATACATATATATATATAAATATATATAAAAGTCACTTTTTCTTCTTTCTTTTTTTTTAAATAATTACATCAAGTAACAAAAGCAGGTGCTTACCTTTGAATCTCGTGAAGTTTATATTATTGTTGTCAGGTAGCTATTGGAAACGCTAAAGAGAAAATTAGAGTTGCTTCCCTTTATTACCGCCTGCCTTGATTCGTGACAATAATGTCAGCAGGCATGTTGACGATATATTTCAAAATATCCCACTCGCATAATCCCCTCTCTTAAAAATAAGTTCCTATTTCTCTTTTGTTGATATTATCTCTCTCTCTCTCTCTCTCTCTATATATATATATATATATATATATATATATACTTTCTCGACAAATTATTCGCCATGAATACAGTTTTTAGTAACATAACATATACGCCTGATCAAATTCAAAACAGATGTAAAAGAAAAAGTCAAACTCAAATATGCGCTTTTTACCATAATTCCCGGTGTCAAGGACATTTCAGCATCATAGTTTGAATATTAAAAAAAAAATAAGTAAAATAGAAAAATATTTTTAGAAGTTCGTCATGGAGAATGCGAGGTAAGTTGGGGTTTGTTTTTTTTTCGAGGCAATTTCTGTGAAAATTGCGTCTGCTTTGCACGCATTCACTTAAATTAAATTGTCATTTTTTTTTTAATTCAGTGTTTGTGTTTTATTTTAATTACTTTCATACTTTCAAATTGTTTAGGACTCGTGAATAATTTATTTTATATAAAGGTAAACAAATTTGTTTCCTAAGTTGTAGCTACTTAGGAAATTCAGGTGGCACAATCAACATTACATTTACTTATTTGAGGGATGCGTCATTTTGTTTAGTGGAGATATGGAAGTTTCTTTTTAAAAAAATAAAAATAAATAAATAAAAACATTTCTATGTCTTATTGTTTTGTTTTGCTTTTTAGTTAAAATAAACGAATTTTAAATTCATTTTTTTTTTTTTTTTTTTGCAATTTATTTTTGATAATTAAATGTTACTTTTTACTTTTTCTTATTGAATAAGACATTAATATTTTTAATTATTCTCGGTAAAAAATGTTCTACTAACATGTTAATAGTATATGTCAATAATATATTAAGATGTTTAAATAACTATTTTTTAATTATAAAAAAAAAAAACTTTAACGTATGGAACAAACAGACGAACTGTTTCTTTTTGTCAACTCTATGCTGTTTCCTCAAACTACAGAATAAATGAACAAAGAGTAAATTATTCTGTAATTCTGTTTTGTTTTGTTTTTTATTCGGCTGTTCTCTCAATCCAGTCGTCCATGAAAGTTTGAGAATGTCAGTTTTTACTTAATAAATATCAGCATAATTTTTTTATAATACATAAAGCAGAGCGATTAGGTTTTTAATATTAATATAAATATCAAGTACTTGATAATAAATTTATATAATTCAAAAAATATTATTCCTTGAAACTTGTTTTTTAATCAAACAAGTTAAATATAAATTATAAATGTTTAAAAATATGTAATGTAGCATTGTCTTGTTAGAAAAGATACACATGCACGGATTGAGAAAGAAAATATGTTTTAGCTTGCTGAAGAAATGAATGAATGCTATGCAACGAGAACATAAAACATTTCCAGGATGACTTTTTTCAAAATACAAAATCGTTTGATAATGTACAACATAAAGATATATCTGCGAGGAAAACTTTATTCATTTTGGAAAATATTAAAATAAACCAGAATATTTTCC